TGAAATAGAATCGGTTTATACCTTCCAGCTGCGCATGTAAATGTAATACAATCACTAAATTGCTCTTGATGATGCTTACGGATGACTTTTCATATAGCCACATGCGAATCTAAGATTGATGAACGAACAGCGAAAATGGCTTTTCTGATGTAAACTTTCATATTTTCTTTGTATCATATGAACCATCTCAGTTGTTCTTCTAAAGAACCGGATGGCCTGCGACAGCAGGCTTCTGTTGTCGATACTATACCGTATTACGTACAGCTGGCTAGACTGTCCAAAATATGGAACAGTATGTCCAAGGTTGTTTTTCACAGAAATAAAAAGAACTGTATTATATGTCCACGCAGGGAATTCTTGAGGAAAAGGTTGCATATAAAAGCTAGAGTCACATTTAAAGTTTTTCAGGTGACTCAAAAAACATGTAATAGTTTCTTAAACTTATTTTCATTCCTTTAATCAAAAACTAGAAGATTGTGTGTCATTTAATCGTTATGTATTGCGGCCCTATACCAGAGGTGGCTAGACGCAAACTGGTTCGAACTTTAATACACATGAGTTAATGACATACAAACTTTAAGTTTTTCACCAAACGAATTATAATAACTGTGATGAACCATACATATAAATATATATATATATATATATATATATATATATATATATATATATATATATATATTCAGGCCTGATGAAGCCAATCAGCAGAAATACGTATCGCTCGGGGTCTATCATATTTTCTGCTCGAATCCACTTTCCTCCTTTTTGCGGATTTTGCCCATTATTTTCCTACTTTTGTTATATATCTTTCTCCGAAAATTTGACTACGCCATCTTGTAGAGGAGAATAAGTAACAATGGCAAATCCCACCTTGAATAAACTCAGGGAGATGTCTATCCGATAATTTCAAGTCTAACCTAGGAAATTGTGAGTTTTTTGAAATATCTAAGGCTTGATAATGTCAATGTACGCCGTACAAGCTCAATAAACATATGGTGACCATAAGAAAGACTAAAGTTGATGCTGGAAGACAACAGATGCAACGTCATATTGAAATTCTTATTATGCGATCTTGTGGGGAAGAAAGGAAATAAATTGCGCAATGAACATCTACAGAGAAGAGTCAGGCCTTGACTACAAAATAACGGCAAGGTTTTGAAAATCTTCTATGATTTAACTTTGCTTACTGTTACTGTTACTATTGTCAAAACTCATAATTTTCGTGTCAACAACAAACTCATGGCGGTCAACTAAGGAAATACATAACTAAATTTAGGGCTGAAAACTCCTTTTATATCAAAATTTCAAAGATAACGTCCATATCAGAAATCAAAGTTGGTGATGGAAGGCAAAAGAAGAATTCTGGAAAAGTGACAATGACCATATGTAATTTACTTTGAAATCCTACCTCAAGAAATGTCAGGAAAAATAATAAGAGACTTTGCGATTATGTAGTATACGAAACAAATGGACTATCTGATAATTCCAAGGCCTGTCAAGGGAATTCTGTTTTATTAACTATATAGCACAAACATGGAGTAATATACATAAGTAATGTAACACTCAAGAAACTGCGCTGTTTTGTACATTGTTTAAATAGTAACACATGG